CACACACACACACACCCCCACGTCCCGAATATCGTGACCGTACGTCGAGCGGTTAAGATTTGTGCCCAACTGTTGACGGACGGACGCTCGGACGGACGGACGCTCGGACGGACGGACGGACGATCATGCGATTCTACAAGCTGCATCTGACTATGTCAGATGAGCTAAAAATACAAGCAAAAAAGTTAAAATTATTATTGCATGGTAGGGGAGAGTGTATACCTCATAGTTCCATGTGCATGAGATGTTGGCAAACTGACGCACGCACCGGCCAATCTCAACGTCTTCGTGGAAGGAGTAGAGGTGCGTCAGGCAATACTGAATGTGAGGAGCAATGCGGCGCAGCGTCTCACGGCTGAAGATCATGCCCGGACCACCCATGCAGAAGTTTTCATAAGATGAGATACCTAGACATATATCAAGCAGCGATATTGCGCAAAAAGATGAAACTAAAAAGTTAAGACCAACTATTATGGCAGCAGGCTACTGGTCAGATGTAGATGTGTTACAAACAAGCTAAGGCACTCTACAATGTCATTAAGCTCACTTCCACTTTCTTGCACTGCATAGGGCAGGATTAACATACCCAATTCTTCTTCTTCTTCTCGGGTCACTACACTACACGACATACCAGCATGCCCGAGGGCCACAGAAGGAGCGTTCACGTCGCGGCCCGTGTCACGTTTCCCTCCTGCGAATCCTTCTACCACACTACACTACACTACAACATACCCAATTGTCCCAGCTCTTCTTTCTTGCCCATTCCAGACTGGCCCATGAATAAAGGTGTGCTACTGTTGACCGATCGTAGGAACTTTTCCATCACATCCGCCTTGATGTACACATCGTCGTCTGCCCTCATAAACCACTCAAACTTATCAATGTAGTTGTCATACATGAATTTCAACATCATGAAGGATTTCTTCTGTGGCGGATAATGGTCGGTGACACGTTCCAGGGGCACGATCGGAATGTCGTACTTGCTTACCGAGTTCTGGCTAGAAAAGAATGCCAGCTTTCCAGGGATCGTCTGACCCCATGTCTGATACACTGTCAACGCCCGAGTGTCTAAAAACTTCTGCGCAGTCATGATACCAACAAATAGCAGCCGCTTGTCTGGCGGCAGATCGTCGAAGTTTGGAGGCGGCTTTGGCAGGATTTCTTCTTGCTTTTGGCAAATACGAAGATGGGCTCTCAGCCATGTTGCGATTGAGAAGCCGATGAATATGCCAACAAGCAAACTGAGAGCTGTGTATATACTCGAGCTTACACGAGCCATTTCTTATAAGGAAAATCTTGTGAAAATGAAGTCAAACAGTGTGACGAGTGTCGGAAGTTTACTTCATTATGTATAAAAAATATATTAATCATAAAACAGTACTGACACCTATGACTGACACAGTACAAAGTGTTACCAATTGATTTCCATATGATGGATGAGCTAGCCTGTGAAAAAGCAAAGGAAGGTTGATTAGCTATAGAGCATTCAATGCAACTTATAAGTTATATCGCAGTGGCTGGAGGTACGGCAGCCGTCTCTACAAGTTACGAGGCTGCATGCAGGTATGGCAGTCCATTCGCGCATGCGTCGCTTTCCCACAAAATAATGCCGTTGGAAATTAATTCACTATTTACCTGCATATAGTACTGGTTCGCGCCACTGATCACAACTTCACATACCTTTCAGTCTTTTGCTCGACGACAGAATAGTGACATATAGATAGATTCACGCAAACAGACTAGAGTTGGGCATTTAGTTGGGTTTTAGATGAATTCTCAGTATTCTGTGACCCCAAGCCAAGCGGCGGCTGAACGTTCTCGTGTGTGTAGGCCCCTACAACGGTGTTTCAATAACGGTGTAGTCTGCAAACAGCAGCCAGTGTTTATGAAAGCTACCATTTACTTGAATAAAAATATTCGCCGCCAGATACACTCTTTCAAAGCACACACACACACACGCACATATCCAGTACGTCTAGCCATGGTAACAGTAGCTGCAGCCCCTCTTCTTAGCAGCGCGGACTTTGACCATGTTTACTTTTCCGCTGTGTAGTAATCGCCATCCGGACCTCCTAAGCCGCGAAATGACGCGTCATTTCGCGGCTTAGGAGGTCCCAAACTCCACGACAGATGGCGCTCTCGCTCTGGCTCAATTCTACCTGTTATTCTACCTATTATCCTGAGTGTGGGAAGGGGCACTGCATGCAGTTTGAGGAGGTCCACGGCTTAGCAACGTTTCTAAATGGTTATTTTATGGTTTGGTATGAATAAAACGTTTTCTCAACGTTCTTAAAACGTTTCTAATAAAGTTATATTTATGTTATTGAATAACGTTTGCTACAAACGTTTGCTCAACGTTATTAAAACGTTCATAATAAGGTTATATTTAAGTTATTGAATAACGTTTGCTACAAACGTTTGCTCAACGTTATTAAAACGTTCATAATAAGGTTATATTTAAGTTATTAAATAACGTTTGCTAAAATCGTAACTTACACAATACTCGAGACCACGCACACGAGCGACACACGCGCGTACACACCACAACATACGGCACGCAACCACACACACACACACACACACACACGCACACAACACCACACACACAACACAACACACACACACACACACACACACACACACACACACACACACACCACACACACACACACAACACACACACACACGCACGCCACACTTTATATTATAATTAAATATTAGGAGTAAATAATCACAAAATTTGCCATTATGCCATCTGATATATTATATATATATATATATGTTTATTTATAGTTGTATTATGAACGATATTTACGTCTAGTTGTAACGACAGAATGAAAGGTTCGACCACTAGAATTGTAGAGTAAAGAGTCAAACACAAGAAAAGCAACCACGTATAAAACCAAGAACAGGTGACTAAAAGTGTTGCACGCCGCGGAAGTTAAGTGCCGGGGCTTTTTATTCGGCCGTTAGTAAAAACAGACTAAGGCTGAACTAAAAGATGTGACAGAATTCCCACACAAGCGTTGTCGCTGCGGGTGTCAGAAATATACACGATCGAATGCAACAGCTAAACAGTACTAACTAACACCCATGTAGTGAGTTGCTTGCCCTGGTGCAGGGGTTAACTTAGATACTGAGTATGCTTACGTGATCCATGAAGATCAGAGGGCGCTCCCGTTTGTGGCTGCGGTGCTGAGCTTGACCTCTTCGCGTCGTCCAGATCGCGATACTACTCTTCCTCTCTCTGCTTTACTTGAGAGCAGAGCCCAGTATTTATACTTACAACCAGCGTGGGTAGCGGTTCTAACTGCCATCATTGCCTCACGAGAGTACGCGTGATCAAAGTCATGTTTTATTGATCACGCCACAATCACATGACAAGCCACACATCCACCCCACAGCGTTTCCTTCATTACAACCGGTGGAATCACGTTGATCGCTGTCATGAGCCACAGGGATATGCTGATTACAATCGACCTGCGGATGCTGAGACGACGCGAACAGTTATGATAGAATGCGGGTATATTGAGGCTATGGCGCCGAAGTTCGTTACACTTATATATATTTTATGTTAGTGAGACAATAAGATCTGCCTGAGATTTCTCAGGCTGCCATCTGGTGCCATAGCATTCGTTTATGGTCACAACGGGCCTCGAGGACAATACAAATTTTGTCACGTGGCCGTGTAGGATCAAGAAAGTTCCAATACCTATGGTGCATTGTTTTAGCTTTCAATTAAGAGTTTAGTTAGCATTAATAAAGATTCCTTTAAGATTCTGGCTATCAAGCTTGGCAAAAGTATTGAGGAGGAGAGAGAAGAGAGAGAGAGAGAGAGAGAGAAGGAGAGAGAGAGAGAGAAGGAAAGAGAGAGAGAGCAACAGAGAGAGATGAGAGAGAGAGAGAGAGAGAGAGAGAGAGAGACCGAGAGAGAAGAGAGAGAGAGAGAGAGGAGAAGAGAGATGAGAGAGAAGAGAGAGAGAGAGAGAGACGCAGAGAGGCGAAGAGAGAGAGATGAGATGAGAATAAGGAGGTGGAGAGATGAGAGAGATGGAGAGAGAGAGCGTAGATGAGAGAAGAGAGAGAAGAGAGAGCGAGAGAGAGAGCTGAGACGAGGAGACCAGAGAAAGAGGACAAGCGCGAGAGAGGGGGGTGAGAGAGACCCTTATTTTCGCGTCATTTTCGCGACATATGCGTCATTACATTAATTAATTTAAAATCTACCCTTAGTATCTCACTTTAATTTTAACTAATTTAAATAACAATTTTAACTTTAATTTTAATAAAAAATTTAAATTTAACAAATTCTTAATAAAGAAATTATTTGAGCGTCATTTTGCGTCATTTCGCGGATTTAGGAGGGCCGTCATTTGCGGTTTAGGAGGGCGTCATTTCGGGTTTAGGAAGGCCGTCATTTCGCGGTATTTCGCGCGCTTAGGAGGCAGGATGGATTACTACACAGCGGAAAAGTAAACATGGTCAAAGGTCCGCCGCTGCTACGCTACTGTTTACTATGTCTTAGACGTACTGCGATTATCGTGGTGTGTGTGTGTGCTGCTTTGAAAAGAGTGTATCTCGCCATAACAGATACAACGGCGAATATTTTTATTTAAGTAAAGGGCTAGCTTTCATAAACACTGGCCTGCTGTGTGCAGACTTACACGTATTGAAACACCGTTGTAGGGGCCTACACAACACGAGAACGTTTCAGCCGCCGCTTGGCTTTGGGGTCACATAATACTGGAATTCATCTAAACCCAATAAATGCTCCAACTCTAGTCTGTTTGGTGAATCATATCTATGGTCATTTCTGTCGCGAGCAAAAGACTGAAAGGTATGTGAAGTATGTGATCAGTGAGCGCGCTGACCAGTACTAGGGGCAGGTAATCAGTGGAAATATAATTTTCCACGGCATTTATTTTGTGGGAAAGCGACGCATGCGCGGAATGAACTGCCATACCTGCTTGCTGCAGCCTCGTAAATTGTAGAGACGGCTGCCGTACCTCCAGCCACCTGCCGATATAAACTTATAAGTTGCCATTGATGCTCGAATTATAGTAAGAATCAACCTTCCTTTGCTTTTCACTAGGCTAGCTTATCCATCATATGGAAAAATCAATTGGTAACACTTTTGTACCGTGGTCAGTAGCGTTACTGTTTTATGATTAATATATTTTTGTATACATAATTGAATGTAAACTTCCGACACTTCGTCACATGCTTGAACTTAATTGAAAGATTTTCCTTTATAAGAAATCGGGGGCCTCGTGTAAGCTCGAGTAGGCCTATATACACAGCTGCTCAGTTGTCTTGTTGGCATATTCATTCGGCTCTCAGTCGCAACATGGCTGAGGCCCATCTTTGTATTTGCCAAAAGCAAGAAAGTAATCCTGCAAAAGCCGGCCTCCAAACTTCGACGGATTCTGCCGCCAGCAAGCGGCTGCTATTGTTGGTATCATGACTGCGCGAAGTTTTTTAGACACTCGGGCGTGACAGTGTATCAGACATGGGCGTCAGACGATCCCTGGAAATCTGGCCCATTCTTTCCTAGCCAGAACTCGGTAAGCAGTACGACAATTCCCGGATCGTGCCCCTGGAACGTGTCACCGACCATTATCGCACAGAAGAATCCTTCATGGGGGTGAGTTGAAATTCATGTATGACAACTAGCATGATAAAGTTTGAGTGGTTTATGAGGGCAGACGACGATGTGTAACATCAGGGCGGAATGTGATGCGAAAAGTTCCTCGATCGTCAACAAGTTAGCACCACCTTGTTCATGGGCCAGTCTGCGAATGGGCCAAGAAAGAAGAGTAGGGACAATTGGGTATGTTGATAGTGTCAGTGTAGTGTGGTAGAAAGGATTTGCAGGTGAAAAACATGAACACGTGCGCGACGTGAACGCTCCTTCTGTGCGCCCTCGGGCATGCTTGGTATGTCGTGCTAGTGTAGCTGACCGAGAACGAAGAGAAGAATTGGGTATAGTTAATCCTGCCCTATGCAGTGCAAGAAAGTGGAAGTGAGCTTATATGACATTGTAGAGTGCCTACCTTGTTGTAACACATCTACTCTGACCAATAGCCTGCTGCCCATAATAGTTGGTCTAAGCTTTTAGTTCTCATCTTCTTGCGCATTATCGCCTGCTTGACTATTTGTCTAGGTATCTCATCTTATGAAAAACTTCTGCATGGGTGGTCGGGCATGATCTTCAGCCGAGAGACGCTGCGCCGGCCATTGCTCCCACATTCAGTATTGCTGACGCACCTTTACTCCTTCACGAAGACGTTGAGATTGGCCGGTGCGTGCGTCAGTTTCCAAATCTCATGCACATGGAACTATTGAGGTATACACTTC